ACATTAGGGTTTTTATCCAAAATATTAACCTCCTAACGTTAATGGCGTGAAAATATATAGCCTAAAGCATGACGTAGTGTAGTGCTTTTTATTAAAAAAAAGAGTTACTAACATCTTAGGCAACAAAGAAATGTGTGTTTACGCTTTATTATAATAGTATAGAAGTATAGATTAAAGATAAATAAATATCAAAATAAGATGTGTCATTATTGCGTAATGTCACCTAACTACAGTCATCATTATCGTATTAGTCAGTCCCTACTGTCTGTCCAGAATCGTAACTCAATCTTGTTTAGATAAGCTTTAGTATCGCTTTGATTCTTATAAGCTTATATGGATGTGCGTGTTTTTAGTTGTGTAACTAAACAGTTGAATTGGCTGCCAAACAATCGACAATCGCTTAACAGTTGGGTAATACTTTAGTCAAAGGTTTGGACTCGCTCTTAATTGTCTTAAATAATTGTGACTTTTGAATACGGCTGACTTTTTATTCTAGAATATACTTATCCCGCAAATCCTTTTCATGGTATTATTAGTTCAATGCAAGGAAACCGCGTCCTCGTTAGGTTTATTGACTCCACTAGATATGTTATCAACGCTATGGTGTGGAACTGACGCCCTACTTCTGTAGCTTTAGTGAGAACTGGTCCTATGAGATTACAATACTAAAGTTGTAGAAAATCTAAAATGATTCATTGTAATTAATAATTAAATTGTCATATTGTCTTATCTGAATTCATTGTCTATTTACACATATCCTCTTTCACACAATCCATCCATATTTCATTAGCAATTAAACTACCAAAATAACTGTAAATAACTCCCAACATTTTTATAAAACAACAAGTATTTGGATTTTAAATATATCAAATGTTTATTTTATTATCACAATAATTTTATCCGAAAATGGGAAATTCCAATTGCATAAATTCGATGTGACAGGGAAATTATTTTGATATTAAATTGCCCATTCGTTTAATAATCGTTATGGATTTTACGGAGTAAACAGGATGGATGTTATCGTCTCTGATAAGGCGCTGGATACATATCGAATCTACTAGAAGGAAAAGAGATTTACATAGAAACAAAGATCGATCGTCTAGTACGACCTTCTAGAATTAACTTTATCTTTGTCACTTCTTAATGATGCCATTTTTCATGCAATCCATCTCTTTCTATGCCTGTTTCAACAGATGCATTCCTTCACATTTATTGTTTGCAATACTGTCTCGTAAAATGCCTTCACAATTCACATTTCATTCACATCTACTATATTAAATTCCAAAGTAATTGACATGTTTTAGATAAAATAAAAATAATATCATTTAATTCGAATATAAATTGAAATTCAAACTAAATTAATTAAAACCTTCAACATCACTAATTCCAAATGAACTAACCCGATGGACAGATGCGACTGAAATACACGAATAGTGCGCTGAATTTCAGCGTGCATTTTCAAACAAATTTAGTTTAGTTTCAATATGTGAGAAAAGTTTCAAGGTCAACAGATGCGTTCTGAACATCAGAACTAAGTCAATTTGCTTTTGCTATTCAAATGATAAGCTAAATATGATACACTAGCTTTCGCCCGCGACTCCGTCCGCGTGGAATAAAAAAAACAAAAGTGAGTAGCCAAGTGTTCTTTCAGACTATCCTCTACGTCTTTGCCAAATTTCATCGAAATCCGTTTAGCTGTTTAGGCTACAAATAGCAAAGATCCATCCATCTAAACTTTCGAATTATATTAGTATGAAGTATGATTATATATTTTATTACCATTAATTGTTAGAGTAGGAAGGATACACTAGTAGAGGTAGGCCTAGAAAGAGATGGATTGCGTAAAAGGAAACAACGGAAGATTTTGATTGGTAAAGTGAGAAGAGCACGGGTGTCACTAGCCGATGTTTTAGACTACCGTTAATCTGGTACCTCACCCCTAGATATTCTCTCCCTTTCCTCCCTCTAGTGACGCCCTTAAGTCAGGGTGCTGGTTACAATGAGATATTTTCACATTGCTGTATGTACCCTTTTAGATTCATTATCAGAGGCCACCTTGAATTCAAGTTCAAATAATTTTTAAGTGTTTCATTATAAGTTAGGTGTTGTATTACTTAAGAGGTTTTGTTTACATAGGAACAATTAACAAGCAAACTTGCTCGCGACGACATTGAAATTATGTTAAAACTTTCGTTAACTTTTAAAATTTTCCAAGATCACTTTTGAAGTTTCAGAACTCAGTTTTTAATCGGAAAACATCAAAGATAGATAAACGGTAAAAGGATAAGATCTTAACGGATTGATAATTACAGTTTTCGGAATAGAAAATAGTAAGGAACATACAGTTTTAAATTCTACAACTCTAAAATCAGCGTTAGTAAGTTATGTAATGTTAAAAAAAGTCACGATTTTTCTTTAAAACCTTTTTAGAAAGAAAGAAACCTTTTTAACGATCATGAGGAACATAAAAACTGTTCTACAGGAACTTTTTTCCAGACTTTTTTTATAATAAAAGGGGGCAAACGAGCGGCGAGATCACCGGGTTGTCATCGACGCCCATGGACATCCGTAACATCAGACGTTACGTTCTATATTTATGTAGATTCTTTCAGCTGAAGAGCAATTACTTCACAAACTCATTCATACAAATTTTTAAACTTTCGCATTTAAAACTTTAGTAAGATAACGTGTGGAATTACTTAGCATATTAAAATAGGTTAAAGCTTTTAGTTAAAAACTACGTCTTCTTGAGCATGAGGAAGTGACAGTCGACTTCCTCTAGATGCCCTATTCAAGTCTTTTCTATTCCATATTGAAAACAGAGCGTACTAATTACTGGGTCGCGAGACGGTTTCCTATTTTTAGAACGTCGACTTGCGACTCTATGGAAATGCTTCTTCGTACGTTAACTTGGCTTTGTTCTTCCCCTTTCTTTTGAAAACTTCTGTGTTGATTAACAATTTAAATAATTGAATTTTGTTTTGTCTTTTATTAATTAGACTCGTGGTGAAATATTTCACACATTGCAAAAGAAACCATTACATTTAAAAATTTATAACACAGTCCTTATATTTTAAATAGAAAAGTTACTAATAACATAAGGTTAATTATAACATAAGGTGGCAAACGAGCGAGCGGCCACCTGAATCCACCGCAATTGCAGATGCGTTGCCTACCCTTATCCGACAGAGGAGGAGACGCACATAAAGAGGATATTTCCCCTTCCTATGCATCTCCACCACCGTCAAATCCACTTCCCCTTTCCATCCTCTCCTTATAAAAAAAGGGTAGTAAAGAGAAATGGACTTAAATAAGGCCTCCGGCACCACACTCATCAGACGAAACACGGAATTGCTTCCATTTCACGCTTGTCTTCTGTGTGGTCGTGGTATTACACCGGGCGAGCCGGCCCTTTCTAAGATGCTAAGATGTTAAAGCGGGCTCGACCACTGTTAAAATTATTAAACTATTTTGTATCAAAAAAATATTTGATGCTTAGGTCACTTAGGGCCTGTCCCACCAAATTATAAATTGTCTGGTAACAATCCAACTTGTAAAATATGTGATGGAAATATCAAATTATTTTCCCTTATCTTACGGTAACGTCATTTTTAAGCTATCTGAGCCACCATTAGCTAGTGGTGTGACAGAGTCTTTCGTAGATATCGGATAATTACTTGTTCTACGTAGATCCATAAACACAAAACAAAGGCCAAGGTCTCTGAATCAATTAAAGCAATAATTAACAAGAAATAAACAGCACACAGTTTGCGCGGACGGGTGAAGTTTGAGACTTTGAGTTCTAGTTTCCTCGCTCTCGCTAATTAATATTTACTCAACGGTTTTCAATATCGCCTGTAATAACAGTAAACATAAATATAAACAAACTATAAAATACTAAACTACTTGCAAAACTAAATTGCAAATCGAATTAAAATTTAAGATAGCATAGATCCTAACCTAATCTTGAACATAAAATTGAGGCGAAAAAAAGACCTTTGCAGTCTTTTTGTTGCGGTAAGTTTCCTGAGTATTTAGTTATCGCTAAACCTATCAGTCATTTTGTCTTGTAAACGATAACGGTTTTTCAATAAGCGGCCACTGTTAAAATAGCTTTGTAATCGCTCCCAATCATCTGTGTTTGCAGATGCGTTACTTATCTTTAATCAACAAGTAGAGGATGCGTCAAAGCAGATTTCCCTCACCTGGCTTCTCTTCCCTTTCATTTGCCTTGTACGATAAGGATGCATGTAACTTTACAGAGTATTTAACTGCCCTTTAGTCGCTAAACTTGTATAAAACACCACTTGTAGATTATGTCTATTAGGATGAATCCGTAGCTAAAATAATGGTAAAAGTATTTTCATCCAGCTCATTTTCTTTATAAAAACTGAGATAGCAATAAGTTATTGTTTCGGCAATGAACATTTAAAGCGGTTAAACCGATCAGCACGATTCATCTTCGATTCCCGCTCCTTGGAAAAAGTTAATTTCCTGTTATTAAACATAAAAAGAAATGTCTATCAGAATCGAATATGCACGGAATAGAAATATTAGCATTAAGTAAAAGAAATACTGCTTTAAATTGCTGTTTTTTATTTATTTATTTATTAAAATATCGAAGCAAGAAAGTCCAAATGTAAAAGTAATTAAATAAAATTATGACAAGATCTTCAATCACCTTTTCGTCTTTTTAACGTATTCTGCTACTCAGTGGAAGAATAATAAAAAAAACATCAATAGTTAAGAAAGAAGACATAAAGCAGAATCTGAATGAAATAAAATAAGCTATTTTAATATAGTTTGTATGCCGTTTTCTGAGACTTTGTCTCCGCAATGTGTGTCAAGTATTTTGAGTTATTTTTCGTCGTAGAGGCACTTCTATTTTGTATAACATTTGTGAATTTGATAATCTTTATGGAGACGCGCAATTTTGTCATAGCAACCATAAGATATTCTATATTAAATAAGAAGCTAATTTAATTCCTTGTTACGCACAGAGAAGGGCATGTACTTGGGCTCGCCGTGTGAGTCCTCGTGCAGCTCGAAATTGGTGCACGTGTACTGCGAGCCGTCCACGCTCTCCTGCCAGTGCGACCCTAAGCACCCGGTTGCTCTCGGCCCCGCCAAGGGCTGTGCCAGGCGTAAGTATTTCGTATAAAACATGCACTTTTATTCTTGTTTATTATATGAAATCAGGGATAATATCAATGCCGCCATCCAACTTTAGACAGAATTGCCAATGATTTCTTAAGAGGAGTTAGTTAGGAAAGAGAAGGTCGAAAATATGACACAATCACCTTCAAACCTTGCAGCTAAAACTAATTCTGTTCCTTATCTCGATGGTTATTAAAAATCCCAATGTGAATTGACATTCCAGCGAAGAAGCTCGGCGAGCAATGCTTCTACCGGGCGACGTGCCGCGCGTTCGACCCGCACGCGTCCTGCGTCCAGGTCAACCACAACGCGTACTGCCAGTGCGAGCCCGGCTACCACAGCACCACGCACACGCGCCCTGTGCCGCGCAACTTCTGCACAGAAGGTAATCACTATCCACCTAGTACATTGTCACCACAGACTAAGTCTTCTGAGAATGACAACTTCACAAATACTGTATTCGATTTGTTGCCGGTTTGTTGTCTCCATGGTAGCGATGCGTCGTTGCAGATATGGTGGTGCTGACGGCGGACATGCCCACGCTGCTGGGCGTGGCGTCGGGCATCTTCGTGCTGGCGGGGCTGCTCTGCATGGTGCTGCACCTGTACACGCGCGCCCGCTATCACCCCACGCACCTCGCCGACGCCCGCCTCACGCCGCCCTGTCTGTACTCGCTCAACGATACCGGTATGTCTGACATGTTACACACGCCACCATCAAACACAAAGCTTGACAATGTTGCAAAGCTACGGCTACCGCTACTGCACTGTATCCGTGTGTGCGCAGGGGGCACACTGAGCGCGACGCGCGCCTCGTCTCGCGCGTCGTCGCGCAGCGGCTGCACGAGCGGCTGCACGTCGGGCACGCTGGAGGGCGGGCGCGGGCGCGGGGCGGGCGCGTCGCGCGCAGGTGCCGCGCGGGCGGCCGCCATCTTGTTAATCTCGCGCCACCTGAAGCCCGTAAGGGACGGCGGCGCGCACCCGCCAAAGTGCGCCGCCAAAGGTGAACCGGATGATGTATGCAGCGCAACCTTACTGCAGTACGGCCCTCGAACGACACCCTCGAATGCCTAATTACTTAACTACTCTAATATTTTATTGAAAAAAATATGCAATGGGAATAAACATTCTAATCTTGGTGATTCCTGACGAAAACTGACTGATGTCAAATGTGTCGTATTGTTATTATCTTCTTTAATTTTTCAACACTCTCTACTGTTCTCGACTTTTCTTGGCAATGGAAATTCAAATTGTGACAGCACATTCAAGACACCACATCAAAAAAGAAGACAACAAATTCTAAGCACGACTAAAGTTGCCTCTTTAATCTGTTTGGTTGTGAGTTCAGGAACCTTTTTATTACTATATTCCCTCAATGAAAACTGTCACTTGTATTGTACAGAGGTTGGGCATTCGAGGAGCTGTCGCTGGTGTCGCATGTCGCACGGCTGGTGTGGGTAGTTGTCGCGTGTTGTTGTCGGCGTCGGCGGCGCTCCACCACGCGCACCGCGCTCTGTGTCCCCACCTTTACGTGCAGCTCGACCCCGTGTGACCACCTCCTTAATGACATAGTTACCGAAACTAAAATTCACAATTATTGTGGAAAATTCCTAATATATTCATACCGGATATACGAAATTAACCATCCCGATTATCAGCTGCAATAACAAACGGATGTCGCTTATTGTAAAGCTTTCCGTGGCTTTGGCGTGTTCGTTTTATGGAAATTATGAATCGTGTTTCGCAAACTAATAGTGTGTCAGTCGCAGGACCTTACGTGTGCTTCGCGTGGCGCGAGCAAGATGGCCGCCGTTCTACGTCACTTCCTTCTATGTTTGATTCGCCTATTGTTTGTCTATGTTATGGAACCATAGATCGATAGCAATTTTATAAAAAAAATTGAAGCTTTTTTAGATAATTTTGAAAACTTAACGGTCATTTGTTCCATAACAGTAAATGTATTAACGAAACTGAAGGTTATGTTGACCTTGTTACTTTAGGAATCTACAGTACGAACAGTAAGGAACATTTTACTACTACATTTTCAATCAACAAATATTAATAATTCTGGGTGTGTCCACTTCTATCGACCTTTCGAGGCGCATTATCTTGATGTGAACGCACCCTTAAAGTTTGCACACTACACTTCAATACCTTGGCTTAATTCATTAAATTTAATATTAAGCACATCTTGATAGCTTCCCTTAACCACTTAACATCGGTAAGTTATTTCTTTGCAATGAAATTAAAATTTTAACGACTGATAAATATAAAACTAAAGGTGAGGCAAAGCTTCAGTTTCACTTGCACGTTTGTTCGCTTGTGTGACTGTGCCGATGTGTGTGCATGTTGCCCATGTTTTGATTAACCCAAATAATTAATTCATGCATTTGTTTATATCCTTTAAGTATCTTAGAGGCATTTCCATAACGCTCGTTAAGTATATTATTAATTTTGATAGACAGCGTGTAAATAATGTTTATTATTCTCATTTCATCTTTATAATTCCCTTATGTTTCTGGAATTACTAGTTGTAAAAAGTACTGAAATGAATGTTCTGGAACATTAAATAGCACTAATTCATTTTGCTTTTTACTATTCTCTCACTAAAATTAAAACCAATTCTTTAGTCTTTATGAGTACTTTAAAGACAAATCCTTTTAAGGACACATGAATCAATTAAATTAAAACTTTTATTGCTATTTTAATAAAGCCAGCATAGATAATATCATAGAGAATAGTATAGATCATTTCCTGTCATAGATAATTTAGTGACTATAACGTAAGGTATTTGTCAGGTTCGCGACGTCCAAGTCTGAATTCGGTGCAGAGCAGCTCGTCGTCCATCAGGAGCTACAGCGCGAAGCGTTGGGAGCGCGAGCGCGAGCAGAAGGAGCGGCGGCAGATGAGCATGCGGCTCGCGCAGCTGCACGACAAGATGGCCGCCGGCCGCGAGCCGCCGCGCCTCGCGCCCACGCCCTCGCCGCGCTCCCCCAACAACTCCACTGACGGCCTGCTGCCTGCCGTTTGTGAAATTAGAGAAGTATGATTTATTGGAACAATAGATTTCATTTCCCCCATGAAATACGTGTTAACCTTAATACAATAGTGTGATGGACAACTATTTAAATAAAATAACATTTTTTATGTACTTATTCTATATTCAAAATGTGACTTTACTAAAAAACTTTTTTTTCTAGTCTAGTGTAACGAACAACGAATTTAAAAATAATGTACTGAATTACTTTAGAGAAAAATACGTAGGGTTTTAATTTTAGTGTGTTGGTAACATATAATTTTTTGTTACAAAAAACTCTGACGAATTAAGGGTTAGGTAGAGTAATATCTATATGATATAATGTCTAAATAATAAGCAATAGATGTGTAAACAATTTTTTTATGTTAACTAATAACTATCATTTTTGAAGAAAGACGAGATTTTAACCAGTACTTACGTCTTGTTTTCGTTACATTATTTGATTCAGTTCGAGTTTTCAAAGTAGGCAAAGAATAGAATAACTGCAATTGCTATTCAAAAAAACAAGGAGTATTTAAAAATTGAAATCAACTCCAAAATTGTAATAAACGTTTTAAATATCTGGATACATTTAATTACAGTTAATAACAAATTCGGATCAACAACTACAGGGGGTAGACGGGCCGTGTTCGAGCACGTCGCTTTACTGACACCAGCCGCGGGGAACGACCAGCCGAAGGTCCTTAGATTCCCTCTCCTCTGACGGCGCCCCCGCCCTCGCCTGGATGTAGTCACAAGAACGGAACGAACGAAAGAACTATAGTTCTCGTTGGACTCGAACGAATGAACTGAGCTGTGAACTGAACTATTTGATAGAAGGTATTGTGAGAAACATTTTACAAGTGATGTAGTGTTTGATAAAAGACTTTTTTGTAAGCTCGCAGTCGGTATTATGAGGTTTAACGGATTCTGAGCAAACTCGTTCTTCTACGTTCTATATATTGTATCTTACAGTGCTAAGAGAAACACAAGAATACTGTTATATTTCTTAAAGATATCATAATTGATTCATTAATTGAGAATATACAATTGGGGGTATGTCAAAGAGGTTTTAAACAGAATTTTAGTATTTAAAATGTTAAAAACGACTATACCCCCAATAGTATATCATATAAGTATAGATCACAACCCCAAAAACCCTTAAACAGAAACACCATATCGAATTAAAACGATAATAATGTAACTAGATATTTGAATATAACGCCGCGGCCTGTGTTGCTACATTAAAATTAAATTGTTCAAGGTATTGCCAATAAGAAACGATATTTTTTATGTTTCAATGACCGGAATTAATGTATTTTTAAAACAAAAACGAAATTTTTAACAACGTTTGTGGCGAAGTAAAATATTTTTAATTCTCGTGACACTGGTCGCTGTGTCTAACAATAGTTAACAATTTAATATTGAAACTGATTTTACCAATAAATATAAAGTATTTTTAATGGAAAGCTTGGAAGCTACTAGAAGAAGCACTGTGGAGTTTGTTTAAACACTATTAAAGATTTAAAACGCTTGGATAAAAATAATAAAGGCCTCTGTAACTTAGATATTTGTTAGATGATTTAAGATTACCGTCCTATTTCAAGCTCATAGAGTGTGGTTTTGATTGTTTGTCATGAATACTGATGGTCACGTGACTTTTTGCCGCCGTATTTATTTTACCGCGACAGAATCAGTCAGAAGTGAAATCTGGTATCAACATGCCATAAGAATACAATGAACAGTCTTTAATAGTGTTTAATCTAACAATTCTGCCGACCCTTAACTGGGAGTGTTAGATATAGGATAATTATAATATGTGTATGGAATAAGATTAATATTTGTTGAAAGTTTTAATTATAGTATATTTTATTTACTTAAAATAACGTTAAATTTGTTGTCGTAAACCACATAAATACTTCTTGTATCAAATTAAATTAGTTGTACAAAATTATTTTGAAATAAAATACATACTTAATGATCGGAGTTGATTGGAAAAATAAATCATTTGATTAAATTACATAAATTCAAAGAATTTTTTCTACTAAGCTTGTATCGGAATATTTTAATTAGTTGAACATTTGATGCAAGAAGTGTAATGTAATGGGCCTCATTAAAAATTAATTGTCCCGCAACGCGTAGATGGTAAACTGCAGAGGTGTTGCTGAGAAATGCATTGTAAAGTTACGTTGGCAGCGTACTGAGTTTAGTGAAATATTTAAATGAATTGGTACCTGTTCTCATCGTGGCTTCTGAAAATAAACGTGTTTCAATATAAAACAGTATTTCATTTTAATAAATTGTAACTTACAAAATGCGCCTTCAAATTTCAAATAGCAATATTTTTAGCTGAACTAATTCTGACTCCATACGAATTCAAATAGAATAGGATAAAACTAAGTAAAATAAAGTTAAATGTTACAAACATTTATATTCTCTGGAAATATTGCTAAACTAAATGTATATAAAAGCTGTATTTTGATCAAGCTAACATTAGGACAACTTAGCAATTAGAATATTCAAGTAGGAGTTGTAAATATTAGATGTAATAACAAATAAAAAAAAAAATAACAAAACCTATTTTTATTATTTTAACAAAATAATCAAGGTTTCTTTTACAATCAAGTAATTTTACAAAAAGCTTGTATTAAAATCCAAACAACGACGTCTTACAAACCAAGTATCCGTAATGTTGGCACGACATCGTTTGACTGCAGAAATAGACGCGGGGATTGTACCACCTAGACTGTTCTGAACAAGATTAAACGAAGATCACGAGCAAGTTAAGAGAATAGATAATGTATTATAAAAAATTATTAATTGGATCACGCGAAGAAATAAAAAACCAATATGTAAATGTATTAAAACTGATGGTCATCGCTGTTTGCCTTGCAGAGGCATCTTTAGTTACTTCGCTTGCGAGGCAGCTGAGCGAGAAGGTTCTAGAATTACAGATTAAAACATAATTCACACGACTACATTTCTTGAAATAGATTAACTGAAATAGCTTCCGGAATTAAGTATTCAAATTGTTGATATTCATTAATCTTTTAGTGATAATCAAAACCAAATATCTTTAACGAACATGTAATTTTGATGCTCTAAAAATACAGTTCCAGAGTATGTTTAGCCTTTGTGGCTCAACTCAAGGGCTGTTGTTATTCTTGGAACGTAGATACGGAAGTGTGTCCTTTACACTTCCTCGTACATATGCATTTTCTAAAGTTATACCACTCCAGGTGGTGTGCAAAACCGCTCAGAACAAATTAATAACAACCAACGCGCCGTTTTATTTAGATCAACTATTTTTACACTAATATTTCGCGGTAACGAACTGCTGAGTATTTAGAAATTATATTCTGAATCCAAAACAAATTAGAAATAGAATGCTAAGATTTAGTCAAACTATAGTTTCGTAAATAGTCGTGAAGTTTAACTTTGAGAATTTTGGAATATTTAAATGCCAGTATCGTCGCAATTTAACTTGTCTTTTAACATTTATAAGGTTTTTTTCAACCACAGATAGTAACCACATGGTAGTCAGATAAAAATAACAACTCTTATCATTTCTGATAATGAATAGACACACAATTTACATGTCCTTGTATAACGCATCCGTTAAAGCATCTTTTATGTGAAATTTAAATTAACGTATTGGTTTAAATTAATACCCTCAACTTATAAATATCTAAAGTTAGCTTTCGCTCCAGACTTCGTCAGAACGGAATTAAAAAAAAACTATATGGGTATAATCTAAATCAACGTTAAACATCGTGATACGTTAAATTGTTCTGGAGATACCATCTCAAACAACCATCCATCTAAACTTTCGCATTTATATTATAAAGATTACCTTAGCAAACGATATATTACTTACACTTTCTAATAAAAATGAAACGAGTTCTCAAGTTTACCGATTTTTCAATTGACTGTGAACACTGTTTATGGAGTCATTGACACGAGAGACAGACAGATGACATATCCAGCAGATGAAGTAGGTACAAAAGGGACGTTGAACTTGTTCCCTACTCAAATATTACTAGTTATAGACGCTGCTTTCTAGAATATTCTAGAATACAAGTAAGTGATATCTAATCTTACGTTACAAATAAAAAAAATGTACAGACAGATTTCTTAAAATACATTTTGTGTCTGGGAATCGAACTCAAATGTTTTTTTTTTCAACCTTGAACATTTTACCGACATCAAGAGATTAATGTCATTTTGTTATCACTAAAAAGGGCAAAGGAATCATTTAAAGGTAATTAGTGCCGTCCTCAACACGGCCTCGGACAGACATCGCCTTTTTAATGCAGTACAGACGAGAACTGTAACTAATTATGGTAGCGAAGTCTGGTCCGCGCCAATTACGTGCTAACTGATGAGGAAATGACCCCGAGTCGATATAATGGAACCCCACTTGATGGGAAGTCAACATTACTTACAGACATATCGATCTGTGTTAATAAATAAACTTGTATTTTCATTTCTTCAAGTTTTCGTTACGTTAACATGGTCGTGAAGGATTGTGATTTTGGCATTGATATCTTACTAATCTTACGAGTATTAAAAATGTAAATTTTTTTATGGATGGATAGATGTTTGTTAGAGTTTGTAGCCTAAACGGCTGAATGGATTTCGATGAACTTTGACACAGATATAGAGAATAGTCTGGAAGAACACATAGGCTATTCACTTTTTTTTTCCATACCACTCGGACGGAGTCGCGAGCGAAAGCTAGTAGTTTCATATTTTATACGAAACTAGTTTGACGCATACGGAACGCTTTATACAAGTGTTTTATTTATCTTCAGAGTGTACATAATTATAATGAAGTACATACTTATGCAGAGTTGGTTGTAACTGAAAAGTGCATTTGAATGCAATTGTATTCCGATAAAATGTTATGATAGTCAACTTAGCGTCCACAAATAGAAAACCATCATTAGTAGTAAAATAGCGTACGCACGATGCCGAGTAATTTTGGACTGCAACGTGTTGGGCAATGTATTGTTTGCATTATGAACATAAATAATCTTTTCGAGCAATGATTCAACCAAATTTTACGAATAACCAGCCATAAGTAATGTATGTAAGTGTTATTCTGCAAGACCTAATGCATTTATGTAATTGTGCTAGATTTTCTGTACAGCTGAATACTCTTGACCTGTCAGTAACCTTGCATTCATTAATTGAAATAATTGGGTCTGTGTTAATAAGTTACGAGTTGTAGGAAATGGTTTATGAAAACAAAGACAGAAATTTCAATAATTTACTTTATTTTTAAGCTTCAACACTGAGATGACAATGAGAAGACGTTTCCAATACAGGTGGAATGTTTAATCGACCTCTTCGATGGTGGGTCCGGCTCCTCCGCCGGGCGCGGCGCCGGCGCCGGCTCCGGGAGCGGCACCAGGGAAGCCGGGCACGCCGCCGGGCATGCCACCGGGCGCTCCGCCCGCGCTCTGGTACAGCTTCGTGATGATGGGGTTGCAGATCGCCTCCAAGTCCTTCTGCTTGTGCTCGTACTCCTCCTTCTCCGCCAGGTGGTTGGAGTCCAGCCACTTGATGGTCTCGTAGCACTTGTCCAGGATGGTCTGCTTGTCGGCGTCCGAGATCTTGTCCTTCAGCTTCTCCTCCTCCATGGTGGACTTCATGTTGAAGCAGTATGACTCGAGCGCGTTCTTGGCCTGGATGGTCTCCTTCTGCTTGTCGTCCTCGTTCCTGTACTTCTCGGCCTCGTTCACCATGCGCTCGATCTCCTCCTTGGACAGGCGGCCCTTGTCGTTTGTGATGGTGATCTTGTTCTCCTTGTTGGTGGACTTCTCGACGGCAGACACGTTCAGGATGCCGTTAGCGTCGATGTCGAAGGTGACTTCGATCTGCGGCACGCCGCGGGGCGCGGGCGGGATGCCGGTCAGCTCGAACTTGCCGAGAAGGTTGTTGTCCTTGGTCATGGCGCGCTCGCCCTCAAACACTTGGATCAGCACACCAGGTTGGTTATCAGAGTAGGTGGTGAAGGTCTGGGTTTGTTTGGTGGGGATGGTGGTGTTGCGCTTGATGAGCGTAGTCATGACGCCGCCGGCGGTCTCGATACCGAGCGAGAGGGGCGTCACGTCGAGCAGCAGCAGGTCCTGCACCTCCTCGGACTTGTCGCCGTGCAGGATAGCAGCCTGGACGGCCGCACCGTAGGCGACGGCCTCGTCGGGATTGATGGATTTGTTCAGCTCCTTGCCGTTGAAGAAGTCCTGAAGGAGCTTCTGCACTTTGGGAATGCGAGTGGATCCACCGACCAGTACGATGTCGTGGATTTGGGACTTGTCCATTTTGGCGTCACGTAGGGACTTCTCTACGGGCTCCATGGTAGATCTGAACAGGTCTGCGTTCAGCTCCTCGAAGCGGGCACGGGTGATGGACGTGTAGAAGTCGATACCCTCGAACAGAGAATCGATTTCAATGCTGGCCTGAGTGGAAGAAGACAGGGTCCTCTTCGCCCTCTCGCAAGCCGTGCGCAACCTACGGAGCGCTCTCTTGTTGGTGGTAAGGTCCTTTTTGTATTTCCTCTTAAACTCCTGGACAAAGTGGTTAACCATACGGTTGTCGAAGTCCTCACCTCCCAAGTGAGTGTCACCGGCGGTAGATTTCACCTCGAAGATGCCATCCTCGATAGTCAGGATAGACACATCAAAAGTACCACCGCCGAGATCGAAAATAAGTACATTACGTTCTCCACCTCCCTTCTTGTCAAGACCGTACGCAATCGCAGCAGCAGTCGGCTCGTTGATGATCCGGAGAACATTGAGGCCAGAGATGGTACCCGCATCTTTAGTGGCCTGTCTTTGTGAGTCGTTGAAGTACGCTGGAACCGTGATTACTGCATTCTGCACCGTTTTACCGAGGTAGGCCTCGGCTGTTTCCTTCATCTTCGTAAGCACCATTGAGCTCACTTCTTCAGGGAAGAAGGTCTTGTCTTCACCTTTGTATGATACTTTAATCTTTGGTTTGCCACCATCACTGACTACCTCGAAGGGCCAGTGTTTCATGTCGGCTTGTACTGTGGTGTCCTCGAACTTGCGACCGATGAGTCGTTTGGCGTCTGTAACAAACAGACAGATACGTTATAAAAATGAACTCTTTCTTAACCTTAACACCTCATTATGATAAAATCTCAGATTATTTTTATCATTCAATATGTTCAGAGACTCTAGTCTAGTATATTGGGTATCATCATTAAGATATAACAATAGTATAAGTTTGTTTTTTATTATGATCTTACTTAAAACTAATCATTGTTTTGCGTAAACAAAAAAATTATGAGTCAATCGGACTCGAACTTGAGATGGTTAAACCATATAACGCGGTCACGTTATTTTTCGTACATCTATTTACATGTACTTAATTAGCCTTGAATAAACACTAGAATCACGGAAAGTTTGCGGTTATGTAATTTAATTGGCATCTACAGTGCCTTACAACAGAATCTATTCATTGAAAATTTCTAAAGGATTTTTTGAGAAAAACAGCAAGAACTAAATTATAAAAATAAATTTTAATAACGGCTAAGTGAAGAGGCATTGTATTGATGGTGCCGGCCGGGAAGACCACGTGGTCCGAGTTAGCGCAACGTGCGCGCGTTTTATCAATTAAACTTACCGAAGATGGTGTTGTTGGGGTTCATCGCCACCTGGTTCTTGGCGGCATCGCCAATAAGACGCTCCGTGTCCGTGAAGGCGACATATGAGGGCGTGGTCCTGTTGCCCTGGTCGTTGGCGATGATCTCCACCTTCCCGTGCTGGAATACACCCACGCACGAGTACGTTGTACCCAAATCAATACCTACCGCTGGTGCTTTGGCCATCTGTAACAAAACAAATTAAAGGTTAATTTACAATATCAAAGATGGCGGATCAGACGCGCATCAAAAATTGCGGGAATGCGCAGCCGCCATATAAAAATCAATACGAATGTTCTCGAATGACCTAATGCTTTGTATTTGATTCAAGCTATAGTTTCGACGGAAAACATGGCAATTTGTATGATGATAAAAGATATTCTCTATTCATAATCAATATTATTATTACCACGTGCTAGTTTCGACAAAGAGGTACTCAAGATTCACTTAAATTTCAACATAGAAAATCACTGAGTCATGAGGAAGCTGACTAAATTGATAAAAGTTCAAGGAACTTTCCCGATGAACATAAAAAAAGAACGTTATCAAGTCCCAATCTTATAATAATTTATACTTCACCAGGCAATTGTTGTGTATTAATAAAATTCTGGCACTTACTTTGTTAGTTTAGCTAATCCTCTTGTTCTGTAGCTTTGTAGATTAATCTAGTAGATCTCTCAGCAAACGTGCGCGATTGACGGCTTCGTGTCACGAAATAAAACTGAAGCGGCATTGGCTGCTCTCTGTGGTTTTATCCGCACACGTAACGATTCGACGTCACTAGAGATTTCTGGAATATTCCTTCCGGCCGGCCAATGAACGCATTGATCGATAGACGCTTTGAGCCGCTATTGGTTAAAATTAAGTACTGCGGGGCGTTATTGCAGTAAAACATGTAAATGCAGTGTTGCGTGTGTTGAGTATTGATTTTTCCTATTTCCAAGCCGAGAAGGTCGAGGTGAACAAAAAGGAAGCATTACAATTTATGTGTAAAATAAAGTTTAAAAAATTGTTTAGAAACATGTCAGCTGCTTAAAATATTTTTAACTACTTAATGTAAATGCACTCGAACTAATGCTGTATTGTTTGAAACCTTTGAGTTATCAATGAAAATTCGATTGATGTCTTCTATTAATAAATTGTACTAATGATGCAATGTTAACTTTTTTATCATATTCATCCACACGAGTTTCTTTACGACGCTATCATTTGAAGCAATATTTAAAGTCTAATCATTAAATCTTTAGCCAAGATTCATATTTAGTAAAATATTTTTATCTTAATAACAGTTTAATGTTAAATTTATGATTTTTATTTTAGAAAAATATACGCAAATTAGGGATATCAATCTTTTTAAATTATGAACATTGATATGCAATAAGGAACATACTGAATTCTCAATCTTATTCACGAAACTTGGTAGTTTTTCGTTATTATTCGGGAAAAATTCTTGTGCTGACAACACTTTCAGGCAAACCCTAACCTTCACATAGATAAAAACTTAGTCAAAATCGAATAATTTAAAACGAAAAAAATATAAAGCGTACTGGATTTGTAGAAGATAATGTTTGAAAGATTTTATAACTAATTAAACATTAATAGTGTGAAACATTTATGAAATAATTCGATTATTTTAATCAAGCACTCACGTTTCGGAAACCACGTGGTGGTTTGCGCGCCAAAGTCAGTTATTTCTGAGGACACCTTTTAAAGTTGAGTTTCATGAATAGTTTAAGGGAACTAGATTATAGGAATTTTAGTCTTATAAATACTAATATTCTATTTAAATGAAACAAAAGGGTATATCAAAATTTTAATCAAAACAATATAAATCAATATCGCAATGAAAATTGCAAGTCAGACTTGATAATTACATTACGTTTAATACGCGGGATATCGCGTAACCACGAGAATGTTCTTGTATGTATGATTAATTTTATTGTTCTGTTCAACATCTATTCGTCATCATGTAACTGGAATTCCATATTCCTTTCTCGAAACCTATTAACAGATTGCTATCTCTGTCTTTTCATAGAGAGAGTGTTGACTGTTATACAAGTTTACCAACAGAAGAAACACACAGCATTTTGTTTCATAAGCCAGTTTTGTTTTAGTCATTGTAAGGATTGTTCCTCAATTAATATTGACTATTTTAGATTTTTCACTTACCTTACCTTATTTTAGGTAAAAAAAGTAAATAACATTTAAAAAAACATTTATTTATACTTAAAAATTAAATAAAAAATCGAAACACAAAACATTTAATTACAACTAAGTAATAAAACGACTTTGACTGGATTTTAACTCTACAAATATAGTAAAAATACTATAAAATTATCTACCAAATTAATAATTATTAATAATATTAATAATTTAATACAAAAAAAATGTTTCACGTACAACACAGCTTTTAAATATAAATTAATAGAACACAATTGTTAAATAACTAAAAACATTTGTTTATTTAAATAGGAATCTATAATTTGATTTTTACATTACAACTGAACAATCATTCGTATTTTCTAAAATAATTTGTAGTAACGATATTAAAATCCGTGACATAAAATGCTCAACCCATAAGGGTTATTCTAAAATCACACTTCACAAAATTGTTCTTTCTCTTAGCTTCTTAGGGCCTGTCCCACCACTAGCTGATATAGTTTAAAAACCAGTCAGATAGATCAGAGGCTCAGATAGTTTAAAAATCAGTCACTGTCATAACGTAACAAAATTCCCTTATATATTTTACACGTTGGATTGGTATCAATTTACAATTTGGTGGGTCAAGTCCTTATTCTTTTTAAAAATCACAACACAAATTGAAGCCTTTGTAGAATTCTTTGGCCATAATACATATTATCTTTTTCGACCAAAAACAAAATCGTTAGCCATATGTAACTATCAAGAAGTCACCATAATTCGCCAAATTAGCGAAACGACAGAAAGAAGCGAGTATATTCTCTCTTTTAAAGTTATAGCTTAACATAGATCATAAAATTCTTAATCTTGGAGTGTTTAATCTATTTCTTTTCTTCAAAGGAATTGGTTATCTATACTAATATTATAAAGAGGAAAGATTTGTTTGTATAACTCAGAATTACTGTTAAGTTATCGCTAAGTAACTGCAAGTTTAGTAAAATTCAGTAAAAATCAGGCGTTTTGTTAGAATGAAACAGATATAAGCTTTGTGCACTAATTTATATTTCAAACTAGCTGTTGCTCCCGATTTCGCGTGAAATTAAGAGACAATAAAAAAATATAGCCTATGTTACTGACATAAATCACCTTTCTAATGGAATTGGTCCAGTAGTTTTGACGTCAATCGAATACATACAAAAATCTAAAAATACAAATCATTCCTCTTTATAATATTAGTATAGAAGTTACATTTTTAAAAATTGGGAAGTGTTAAATCTCTGGTCATATTGAAAGTGAGAGTTGCAGTTTCCGTTGTTCATATCCTGAAGTAGGACTGGTACATGGCGCCGAGCGCGGTGGCGAGGAACCAGGAGAAGCAGCACCACCAGCTCGCGAACCCCAGCACCCCGCGCTGCACCTCCACTGTGAATATCTTACACAGACATATTTATTACTAGCTGTTCCCGTGCGACTTGATCCGCATTAAATTATGAAAATTTTATTTTATTTACATTTGTTAAATTATCAATTACAAATGTCAAAATGACATGATGACAACCTTGCTTCCTTGATGTTGGCAGCAACTTATGGTCTCTTTCCCACTTTAGGGTTTTTATCCAAAATATTTACCCCTTAAGTTTAATGGCGTGAAAATTTATAGCCTAAGCGTGACGTAAGTGTAGGGCTTTTTATTTAAAAAGTATTATTCAAAAATATGCTGTAATTGCTGACATCTTAGACAATAAAGAAGTGTGTGTTTACGCTTTATTATAATAAGTATAGATTTATTATACGAGTGTACATTTTGCCCAAAAGTGGACACGGCTTGTTATTTCCTAAAACTCACCATCTTCAGATTCTCCAAAGCCATTTGATACTGCTCGATGCCTTCAACATCCAGTCCAGTGACCACAGTCCTGGTGGGGGCGGGCACTGGCGGCGTGTCGTACAGCAAGCCAGTCCAGCTGTAGCCGCCGAGCGTCTTGTACATCAGCGTCAGGAATAGACACATTATGATGGGACACACATATTGTAACGCGACCACACACAGGTAGTAGAATACTGATGCTATCTGAAAAAAAGAAATAAGAATATATACGAAAACAATGACAACATTTGTATTTTTGTATGTATTGTAATAACTCAAAAACTATTGCACCGATTTTAAAGTTTGTTTCACCGTTAGAAAGATAATTTATCTGTGAGTAACATAGGCTATGCTTTTCATTATTATTTTAATTTCACACGGGCGGAGTCGCGAGCAACAGCTAACATAAATAAAGTCCTAATTTTCTTCATTAAAATTTATTTATATTAAGATATCTATTAATTAAATGTAAAAAAATCAAAATTTAAGATATCCAATACATAAAACAATGCCTGACAAAATTTCAAACCTTCTTCTGTAATTCAATATTAGTGATCCTGCCTGCCTCTTTCTTCTGCGAGTCCAGCTTCCTCTGCGCCATGTCCAGGTAGGCCTGCAGCTGGCGCGGCAGCAGCACCAGCCTCACCACCACCGACACCACCACCAGGCAAACACGGAGGGTGTCAAACGCTTCCGATGTCATACTGGAATGGTGGCAATTATACTAGTAACTGAACTTACTACTGATTTACAACTGGCATAATGTAAAATGCGCCAGTGAGCCAGTACAGTTATTGCCGTATATAGTATATAGTATACATACTATAGGATACTGACATTACAGTTGGACAGTATACTGTCCAACTGTACTGGCCCCATGTAAAAATATAGCCCCTATTACTGACATAAATTACCTTTCTAATGGTGAAAGAATTATTGGAATTGGTCCAGTAGTTTTGACGTGAATCGAATACATACAAAAATACAAATCTTTCCTCTTTATAATATTAGTATAGATGTTACCTTTTTTAAAAAGGTTGTTTTAAAAATATTGGTAGCTTTCTCCTGCGACTTCGTTTGCGTGCAAGTGAAAAAAACAAAAGTGAATAGCCTATGTGTTCTTCCAGACCATCCTCTACGTCTATGCTAAATTTCATCGAAATCTAATCAGTTGTTTAGGCTACATACTCTAACAAACATCCATCCATCTAAACTTTCGCATTTGTAATATTAGTATGAAGTATAATATAAAACAAATGTTAATTCTTTTAATGAATTTAACTTATGTATTTTGTAATCATTATATAGCTTAAAAATAATCAGATTCAATATACTCACAGCGGTGTTGTCATTCCACTAAAAACTCTCACAGTCAAATAATGTCTGGTGACCGGCCGCACCCACAGTAGCACGAGCACAAACGGCATCGCAAAGTTTATATTCAAAAGTAACACTTTCAGTTTGTTATCATCATAGTATCTGTAATTATAATTTTTATATTACTATCGCCCGAGATCCTTCCGTGTGGAATTTAAAAAAAAGTAGTCTATGTCTTCAAGATTATCCTCTACATCTATGCCAAATTTCACCAACACAATGATGGTAAGAAATTGTTGAAATAATTATAATACAGAAGGAAAAACGATGTTACACCAATTTATTAAAACATTTTTATTTGTAAAAATAAGAAAACAAAAAAACAAGTCATCCTTGACAAAAAACATTTTTTGACAGAATATTTTTGATTAAAAAAAAACAGAAATTCCAAGGAGTATTTCAACATGCCCCCTTAATCTAAAATATTCAAAAAAAAAAAAACTAATTAGAGTTAACTAATCCTAAACTCACAACACATTTTTTGTGAGCAACACGCCTTAATGGTTTCGTTAAAATATCT